ATAGATGTTGGTTAAAAAATCCTTTCATCTATGATTTACGAAACAATGCATAGACTAATATCACCATAAAATAATAGTTTCTATTAAATATAGTATTATAAAAAAACGCACAACACAATACAATATAAAAGAAAAATAAATAATATTTTAGGTATATCTTGACCTTAGACTAGAAGAGTCACCTCTGATTTAAATTTTATGTAACAAAAAAAAAAACAACAACAATAATATAAGAGAGTAAACATTTAGACAATTATAGAAACAGCTCCTACCACATCTTAAAGATCAAAGTATGGTGTTTTACGTTTTCTTTTTTTTAATTTGAGGTGAATATAAGGTAATATATGTTTAAAGTCTCTTAATCATTTAATATTGAACGTTCATACTCCTGTATATATGGTGCTCGAACCTAAAACATAAAAAATAACAATAATTCATTAACCACTAAGATCGTTTGATTTTTACTCTATATTTTTTTTAAATAAAAATAAAGGCATTAAAAATAGCCAAGTAATCACATGAAAATGGAAACAATTTAAAAAGGGAAAACATAAAGGATTTGAAACAATTTCATTATAGAAATGTCATTATGAATATAATCACATGAAAAATTATAAACATAATCAATTGAAATGGGAAAGCCGTCGTTTATTATTAGAGAAAATAACCTCAGTGACCGAAAATGCCTTATAATATACGATTTTAATTAATTTTTTTGGATTTGCCAAAATGACCAACAAAATCGTAACGCCAACTCCAATTTCGCAACTCAGTTTCCAAAATCGCAGCGTGAATAGTAAAAATCGTAACGTGAATAGTAAAAGTCGCAACGTAAATAGTAAAATCGCAACGCGAATTTAAAAAATCGCGTTGCGAATTTCAAATGGTAACTCTCTGTTTCTAGACTGGGATTTTAAGTGGAAAATAAAATTTATCTACATGTGTACAGGAATCAGCTTTTTCTTAATATAATTCAAAATTTAATTTTTTTAAATTTTTTAAATGTATTTCGCAACTCAGTTTCTAAAATCGCAGAGTGAATAGTAAAAATCGCAACATGAATAGTAAAATCGCAACGTGAATTGAAAAATCGCAACACAAATTTAGAAAATCGCAAAATCGCGTTGCGAATTTCAAATGATAACTCTCTGCTTCTAGACTGGGATTTTAAGTGAAAAATAAAACTTATCTACATGTGTACAAGAATCAGCTTTTTCTTAATATAATTCAAAATTTAATTTTTTAAATGTATTTCATTAGTCTGAGTTAAGGATTCTTTCAAATTTCAAACTTTAATTAATTGAATTTAGAATAATTTGTAATGGAGATTGACAAATGAAATAAATTTGTTGTTCATTTACATATAATTTTTTTTACGTGTACGAATATTTTTTATAAAAATTATTTATGTACTTTTTCAACAAATTATTATAGATGGATAATAAGAGATAATTTACATATAGATTCGTTGTGATTTTACTATTCACGTTACAATTTTACTATTCACGTTACGATTTTAGTATTCATGTTGCTAATTTGGAGTTCGCGTTGCGAATTTGACTTTCACGTTGCGAATTTGACTTCTATGTTGCGATTTACATATTCGCGTTGCGAAATTGGAAACTGGGTTGCGAAATTGGAGTTCGCGTTGCGAATTTGTTGGTCATTTTGGTAAATCCCAAAAAAATTGGTTAAAATCGTATATTATAAGGCATTTTCGGTCATTGAGATTATTTTATCTTATTATTATTATTAATTAATTAATTTGGACAGTGAAATTTTGAATTTTGACAGGCAAGGTTGGGGTGTTGAACATTTTAGATTAGGCCAGATGACAAGTTAGGATTGTGTAAAATATTTTAAAGGTCTATTTTTATTGAAATTTTAGATAATTTGGAATTAAATTTTAACTGATCTGATTATTTATTCTTTTAATATCTTATTCAAATTATCTGAAAATTAAGATATAAATAATCAGATCATTTTTTTTTTGCACACCAGTCACTATTATAGAATACATGTGAACATATTTTTAAGATACAAATTATTCTATTTTTTTTAATTTAGTCACCCAATTTTACATTTTATTTAATTTTATCTTTTAACAACATTTTTATAATTCTTTTTTCTCATTAATTCCTTCACTCTTCAATATTTTATCTTCAATCTACTTTCTTTGAAAATAATAGTATAAATATATTTTATAATTTTAGATTGGGGTGTTGACTCGTTGTTTTTTTTAGTGAATATCTCCTCATTTTCTACTGTTAATCTTCATATTTATTTTCACTCATAAAAAAATCCTAAATTTGTGTAAAACTAAAAGAGTTTTACACAATGTAATTGGATCATGTCCTATAATGGGTCAATATTCACTTACATTGTGTAAAACTCTTTTAGTTTTGTATAAATTTAAGATCATTAGATGAGTGAAAATATATGACTGAGATTAACTTCTTATTTTTTTAGTGAATATCTTTTCATTCTTATTGTTAATCTCAATTATTTATTTTCACTTATCCAATAGTCTTAAATTTGTGCAAATGTTAATCTCAATTATTTATTTTCACTTATCCAATAGTCTTAAATTTGTGCAAAACTAAAAGAAATTTATACAATATAATTAGATCCTAACCTATAACATATATATATACACACACAATATAACTTTTATAAATTAATACTCGATAAATTAATAATCTCTTTATTTTTTAGGTCTCGACTTGGGCCTAAGATCTAAATTAATAGTTTCAATAAAGTAATAAGATAATAATTTTCTAAAATACCCTTATATAAATTTATAATACATTAGATATTATGAATTAATTTTATAATATTACAAATATAATTAGAATAGATTAACCAATTTTGGATATTGGTTACCCACTAATTATCTAATCGCTCTATATATACAAATATAAGCACATATTGGACTTTTCTAATTTACTTTAATTTTTATTATTGTTTAACTCGTACAATTATAATTCTTTTAATAGTTTAAAATAATTCTAAGATAGTATTTATTTATATTTTTTTAAATGAACACACCTTAAAAATATAACAGTTCAAACTTAAAATCTCTAAAGACAACAACACTCTCTTTAATCACTAAAGTTGCTCAATAAATTTCATCATTTTAATATAAGTTAAATTAAAAATAATCATTCTTTATAATAGTGGTTAATTAATTTTTTTAGAAAGAAAAAAAAAACTATCTTCTACAATCTTCGACTCAACTAGGGTAAAAATAATATTAAAAAGTAAAATATAAATTTAAGAATAGTATAGAATTAATTAGAAAACTAAATATATTCTTTTATTGATTGATTAAGTCGTTGGTAGATGAGGAATTAATTAATTTTTATTTATTTTTAAGACTAAATTAAGAAAAAAATCAAAAATATAAAGACTAAAATAAAATTTTATAAAAATACTATATAATAAAATAAAATGGTAAATTTTATGAAGATGCCCAAAATTGATCTAATGTTGATTTATGAAAAGACTTTACTTTAGTCTTCTATTTTGGTTTTTTTACAATTTGATACTAAAATAAAAAAAATAAAAGCAAATTCAGTGACTAATTACTTTGTCAAAATTATCATAATCTATCAGCAATTTGTCAATCAATTATTTTCATAATTAATTCTATATCATCTCTAAATCCCCTTTTTTTTCGAACATTGATTTCCCCTAATTTTGCGACAATCACCCCTTTACGATTTTTACGTAAAAATCATTAAATTGAATTGAATAGATGGCTGATTCTCTGATAAGAATAGCCAAAAGCACCTTCTTTATATGATATATTACTTGAAATATTGTACTACATTATTTGATTTATTTGGCAGGAATATAAAATTATAATATTGGGTTGAAGGAATATAAGATATGAAGAATGTATATTTTACCAAATTATCTTTAAAATGTATTTTTTTAACAAGTTTAGTTCTCAATGTTAAAGTGAACAAAATTCATAAAAAATATATTTTTTTAATTTTTTTCTAATTTATATATGTATTTTTTTAATAAAATTTTTATACAAATAATTTAATATATATTTTTCTATTATTTTTATTTTTAAAAAAATACAAAAACATATTTATGTTGGTGTAAGTATATGTTTAATTATAGACACTAGAATATTGAGAGATATGCATACTTACATTGGTATAAGTATGTGTTTGTTTCTACATTTTTTTCTTAATGTGCTCATGCTACATGTATGAGTTGTACAATAAAATATCATATCAAATTATTTGACAAATTAAGTGGAGACCATAAAAATATAATATATAAAACCTTTTATGAAAATTAATCTTAAAAAATAAATACAATAAAACACATAAAAGTAAAACTTGAATCAAACACATACATAATAAATACTTAAGATAAAATAAAAATTTTATTTTATTTAGTATACATCATATAATTTTATAATAAGTATTGAAAAAGTTAGAATCATAACAAAAAAAAAGTATACTAATGTAATCATACAAAAAAATGATCCTTTTAAAATAGTTATATTATTTAAGGGCATTCTTGTTTTAAAGAGGAGAAGAACACTGAGAAGAACGATATCGAACCACATATCAAAATATAATTCCTAAAAAAATTATTCTTTGATAAATGACCTTCGACTTAAAAATAAGCCCCAATGTTTCATCTACCATTCATTTGATTCTGTTAAAAGTGTATAAATGAATAGTACTACGCAACAGTTGCAAAACCTTTGGTACCTGCATCTGCAAAGACCAGTGCTTGGTTCAGAAGCAAGCAAAGAAAATGCTTTTTTTTTCCCCTGACATTGGGCGCGCTTTAAGTGAAACTTGATCCAACTCCATTTCTATTCTACTTGTTCCTCAACAATGGCTGCTTCAGTTAATCAACAGTTTTCACCAAACAGTAATAATATCACTCATACAATGACAGTCTTGGAACAAGAACAAAAGGAAATGTACTTCCCAAGTAAAAACAAAACAAAACCAGAAACAATTTTGAGTTTTCCTTTAGATGTAAAAGAAGAAACAATTTGCAGGAGAATTCAAGAAATGAATTTTGGGTCAGCAGCAGCCAAAAGAAAGCATTCATGATTCATCCATGAATGAAACAAATAGTATTAGAAACAATTTTTATGCATCTGATACCACGCTAAACTCGTCATCTTCCGGCGGAGCAGGTAAGTTTAGATCTATCAAATTGTTGTCAAATTTACTATAATTTTCAGCAGCAGCAGCAGAGTTGTTTGATGAAGAAGCTGAAGCAATCAAATGAGATCTCTTGTGACCGCCAAGTGCTTGTCCCGACCCGAATACTCTGTAACAAAATGGGCACTCGAATCTCTTGCTGTCACTGCCGATTACGACGGCGACGGCGGCGGTTTTTTTAGTTTCAGAGCAAACCCTTTTGTGCTCATCCAATGTATCATAAGATCCGAATGCCTTGTTGCATCTCCCACATCGATGCTTCTTCTTCTTGCTTAACTCACTTTTCTTGTTGCTCAACTCGATGTCTACCAACGATTTTTGTGATTTCCGTTCCACATTCTTCCTACTCCAAGCATCTCTAGACAGCAACATAAGGCACATAGCAACGTCTTCTTCGGGGGAAGTATCGGAAACTGAACTCACCGGTTCCGGTTCGGTGGGTGGTGAGTCGATCAAACTGGGTGAAATCGACAGCTTCGGTTTCTTGATTTCGTCGGGTGTTGCATTGTTAGCAGTACCCACCTTGGATTTTCTCTTGGATCGTCTCCGTGTCGGGTTTCTTGACTCGGTCTCGCTCTCTCTGTCTTGAACAACAGACCCAGAATCAGGTGCAAATGAGAATTCAGGATCTGCAAACCTCAAACTCTTCTTGGGATTCTCTCTTAACCCATAACCCAAAGACTTGTGTTGGAGCACTGTTTCCTTGCTTTTCTCTTGCTCTTCGCCTGATGATGAAGAAGCTGAGTCGGTACGGTTACTGAGTTGGTGAGGAGTTGTTTTGGGGGACAGTGGATGGTTTGATAAGTGACCTTTCATGTGACCCCCTAAAGCTCTGCCATTAGAGAACGTTCGAGTACAGAGTTTGCATTTGTGCTTCTCCATTGTCGCCATTGCCAAACTCAAGCAAAGCAAAGATCAAAGCTCTCTCTCTCACTCCCCTATTTTTTCTCTTTGTAAAAAGCGTGAGAAAGTGATTGAAAGGCAGATTTGGAACTTAAAAAGGAGTATGCGAGAAGCATTCCTCCACCAAAATTACGATTTATTATCTATATAAAGTAATTAAAATAATAACATTTTTTTAGATTAGTCTAAGAATATTATAATTTAATATATGTTTGAAATTCTTTAAATAATTGGATAATAAACGTTTAAATCTCTGTGCAAAAGTCGTATTTGAAACTGAGACTTTTAAAAATAAAAATTATCATTTAACCACTGATATCATTTGATTAGTATAATAAAATATATATCTTTAGAATTAGAAAATAATATAAAAAAAAGTATTACCAATGAATGGAGATTGGAAAAAGAGAAAAAAATAACATTCAAACTTTGCCCATTTGCGTAATAAACCATAAGTCGGCACTTAGTTAGGCAATTGTACAACCCCTTTTGCCAAATTGCTTTCATCGATATTATGTGTATTTTTTAATTAAATAGATATATGTTTATATCCTCAAAATAAATGCTCTGAATTATATATTTGATTAATAAAATGACAATTAAGTATTTTTTAATATATACCAATAATGATAATCACTAGATCAAAGATTAATAATAAATTAAGTATGAATGATTTTTTATTAAGCTAGAGGAGATTATAAAGTAGTATATATTTTAAATATTTTTTAACTATTTGACAGTGAACGTTCAATTACCCTTGCAGTCTCTGGTGCTCGAATAACAACGATTCATTTAACCACTGAGGTAAGTTGGTTCGTATATGATATATAAATTAACTTTAAATATTTATGCTAAAGTTAAATCAATTTTTTTTTGAAAAAAAGCTAATTTTATTATAACGATTTAAAAGTGATTATACAATAGTTATTTGTTCTTTTTTTTGTTATTAACAACGTATGCATACGTTATAGATGTGATTGTTTTAATCCTAAATTTCTAAGGTGACATAATTTTTATCATTAAAAATATATTTTTAATAATCTATAATAATTATTATTCTTTTGATAAATCTGAGGTGGATATAATGTAATATATATTTAAAGACTTTTAACTCTTTGATAATAAACAATCATACTTCTAATATACGTGATGTTCGAACTCAAAATATCGACGAATAATAATAAATCTTTTAACTATTAAAATCGCTTAATACTTGTTATAATAATCATTATAAATAAATAAATAAATAAATCATGATATAAAAATATAATGGATAGTTACAAAATTAGTGGTGAAACGAGGACAATAGGCATAGGAGAAAACCCATGATAAAACCACGTGGCCAAACAAGCCGGATCATTGTTTTGTATTTTTTAAATAAAGAATGGGTAAATTACTTCAACTACAAGTCATCTTTATGCTCGGACTCGTTTATGCCACCAACATTTCAATTTTTTCAATTTTAACACCAACGTTTAAGTTTAACTGCAACTATGTTACTCTATCATTAATGGCTTAACGGCACGATGACACGACATCTATGTGCCGTGATGTTGTTGACGTGATTTCCTCATCAAAACGACATCATTTTGACATGGTTATGTTTAATGTTAAAAACCCAAAATGACATAATTTTATTTGAGAAAATTTAGTAAATAATGCATTTGAAGGGATTTAAATCCAAGACCTTTTGAATCAAAAGTTAAGGCTCAATCACTATGCCAACTTAAATTTTTGTAATAAATCCACACACACAATATACATAACATGAATCATCATTCCAAAAGTTACTTTCTAAAACCCCTAAAATTATTAAAATTTCCACACAAAAAACCTTAAATTCCATAAATTCTCAAAAAATATCAAAATTCCTAAAAATCCAAAAAAATACACAAACTCTAAATCATAATCCCTAAAAATAATAAGATTCATTTTTAGAATGAATTTAGGTATACAAAATTCATAAACTCTCAATCGTAATCCATAAAAATTATTAGATTCATTTTAGAATGAATTTAGGGATTACCAAAAAATCATAAACTCTAAATCGTAATCCCTAAAAATAAATCTTATGATTTTTAAGATTTAACTTCTTTTTTTTTTGGGATTTTAACAATTTCATGGATTTTTTAGAAAGTATCTTTTAGTATGTTGACTCATGTTATGTATATTGTGTATATAAAAATATATCAAAAGAATTAAGTTGGCACAATGGTTAATACTTAAATTTTGTTTCAAAAGGTTTTGGGTTCAAATACCTTCAAATGCATTATTTACTAAATTTTCACTAACAAAACTATGTTATTTTGGTGAGGGAGCCACATCAGCAACGTCATAGTACAAAAATGACATGTCATCATGCCGTTAGGTTATTAACGATGAAGTGACATAATTATAGTTAAACTTAAACATTAGTGTTAAAATTAATAAAATTTAAACGTTGGTGATATAAACGAGCTCAAACCTAAAGGTGAGTGGTATTTGAAGTAGTTTACCCTAAAATAATTATCTTTCCGCATTCGTATATATTCTTTTACGAATTTATTTCCATCCAACAGTTTCTTTTACTCAAGGTTAGTTAATTGTATTCCAGATATTATATGAGAACACGTATTTCTCATATTTATTTAATATTTTATCTTAAAAATATTATTAAATACATTAATTTAAATTTTACAAACGAAATTATAATACTACCATGTATGTTTAAATACGTATTTTTTAAATTTTATTAAGTGATTCTAATTATAAAATGTTTTTTTAAAAAAATCGAATTTATATAGCTATATAAATCTTTAAATCATATTTAATAAAATATGAAAATGACAGTTAAAAGTGTTATAACCAGGGATAAAACTATGTCTGTCTTGGATGGCCATTTTCTCTATTTTTTCTTATTAAAAATATATATTAGTAAATTTTAAATTAGAGTTTTTAATTTTAGTTTATTTTGAATTTATTCCTTATTTTATATGATTAATTATACTTTACTCCCTTATTTTTTATAGTTAGTTATAGTTGATTCTCCTTAAAATAGAACCTTACTTTGTCCCTGACATAATCCACTTGTAAAATTAAAATACCAAATAATTATTCTTTGATTTAATATTTCTGGTTTTGTAATGTAGAAAATTTAAGACAATCTTTTGCAGCCGGCAGCTCCGTTTAATGGACGATAACTCCCAAGCTCACAGTTTTGCGCCATAACTACGTCTGCACCTAATTTTCTTTCCAACTTTTAAATATTTTTTTCTTAATCATTAATATGATACAAAATAAATTTATTTTATTTTCTTCTAAAAGATTATTTCATATAATATAAGTATAACATAATAAATATCTTGTATATTAATTATTAAATTTGTATATATAAATTTTATTTATTAATAAAATGATCAACAACCGTAGAATGTGATATAAGATGATAGAGCGGTGACTCTAATAATAATTATGATAACTTTTAGGATGTTGATCAGGGTCGGGGTTAGGACGTTGTAAATCATGTGCAAATTCTTAAAAAGAGGCTCGTAAAGTAGAGTTAGACAAAAAAATGAGATAAGCTTTACAGTTGTATCACATTACCAATTATTGGTATTTCCCATATAACTTCAACAAGATTCGACTACATATTATGTGGTTTTGGGCCAACAAATTTTACTACTGATTCATAATATTTTGTTTGTTTTTTTATTGAAACAATAGTAATAAATCTAATTTTTTGAGACCCTTACTATTTCGGGGCCATGTTCCGTCGAGCACGTTGCGTGGTCCTAGCTCCACCTCTGATGTTGATGGTTTCTAATGGAGAAGTGTGTTTACCTTATGCTTTTCATAGGATAGATATACAATGCCCTGGATGAGTGTCAGTTAGGAGTTGTCGTGTCATTGACATTAATTAAAGAGAAAATAACATCAGTGACCGAAAATGCCTTATAATATGCGAATTTAACCAATTTTTTTGGATTTTCTAAAATGACCAACAAATTCGCAACGCGAACTCCAATTTCGCAACCCAGTTTCTAATTTCGCAACGCGATTATGTAAATCGCAACACATAAGTCAAATTTGCAACGCGAAAGTCAAATTCGCAACGCGAAAGTCAAATTCGCAACGCGAAAGTCAAATTCGTAACGCGATAGTCAAATTTCGCAACACAAAAGTCAAATTTGCAACACGAATTTGTAAATCGCAACACAGAAGTCAGATTCGCAACGCGATAGTCAAATTCGTAACACAAAAGTCAAATTCGCAACTCGAATTTGTAAATTGCAACACAAAAGTCAAATTCTCAACGCGAAAGTCAAATGTTTTTACGCGAAACACAATATTAATTTCACAACACAAATGTAAACAGTATTATCGCAAATCATCTCTAACCTAAAACCCTAAATCACAACTCATTCTCATCTCCATCTCTCACTCTCTACGGCGACATCCGTCCCCATCTCCGACGAAATCCATCTATCTCCATCTCTCAGAGCAACCCTCACAACTATTCACGGTTAGAAATGAAAAATCAACCACCGAGGGTTCGTTTTTTTAATCTCTTATTTTTATTTTGAAATTTTTGTATTATTATTAGATTTTTCTTATATTGATGATACATTTATTGGTAATTTCAATATATATAGATTAACCATTTCACTGAGATTGCTTAGTAAATTCATTCGGTTGCTGCTAATACTACTAAACTGTTTAGTCTTTAACCCTGTGAAATTAGTATTTGTCTTTGTTTTGTCTTTTTGTTGAAGAAACCCTAAATCGCAACACCAAATTCGCAACGTGAAAATGAAAATCGCAACGCGATTTTAGTTTCGCGTTGTAATTTTCATTTTCGCGTTGCGATTTTCATTTTCGCGTTGCGATTTTCATTTTCGCGTTGCGATTTTCATTTTCGCGTTGTGATTTTCATTTTCGCATTGCGAATTTAAGTTTCATAAACTTCTTTTATTCTGCAAATTGAAACTTGAATGAATTGCATTACTTCAACCAAAAAACAAAGACAAATACTAACTTCACAGTGTTGCTAATTTAAGTGCTTACTTCTGAAATGTTATTTGATGCATTTTGTGAACTATGATGGAATAATGACTTGGGT